AAAGTGATTGGGGTATTCATGCTACAAAAGTTTCCTTATGCATCTCACGGAAGAAAAGAAAGCAAAACATGTGGGTTTGCAAAGCTATGAGGGTGAGGAAATAAAACTATGTTGACTAAATTGTCCCTGTATGACTGTGTGAACTCTGTTTACAAGGAAGTAACATCATTGTCACCTAGTGAGTAATCTGATTTGGGATTCAAGTTTCATTTGCATTAAGTATGCTTTGCATAAACATATGTTTTAAAAAAAGCTTAAAGGGGTTTTAATTTGTAATGGTCCTATCGTAAGACAATAGTCTCATATTAGCCTCAGATTTTACCAACTGATGAAATCCACATAAGCTTATATTTCCTTTTTACTGCATTTACGTGTGAATGAATGGAAGTCAGTTGCCCCTTATAAGGAAGGATTCAGTCGTTTACTCACCCTCATCTAGCAAATCAGCATCCTCTGTACATTAGTACACCAAAGCCAAGGCAAGGGGGTCAGTTCCAGTACTTTTTTAACTGTATGGACAAAAATAGCAAACATGCAGGTTTAGAATGACATAGTGCTGAAAAAATGACAACAGAAGTGCTATAACTCTTGCAGCTTTTTAAAGCCCCTGTTCGTTAGAGGGCCAAACTTCGAGCCTGCTGAGTGAAAATGCAGTTTGTTTAAGGTACTGATACACCTTCAAAGCGGTTGCTGTAAATGTGAAGCCAGGCTAACAAGAAAGACGCAGCAATTAAGCTGTTTTACCACCAGCCATTTTACTTGCTGCAGTTATCGTAATATAAACCTGCTGCACGCAAACTTTCCAGCCCCCTGTAAACACTCCTGAAGGATAATGTTTAATTGTAAACCCAGTAATTTCACTCACTCCAGAGGTTTACAGCCTTTGGAGTTTTACAGAAACAACCGGCAGGTGTTATATAAGAAACGACGACAAGAACTTAGTCATTTGATCTTCTTCATTCGTGCAAGTAAAGAATATAGGAACAGTCATTTCTCCCTCTCGTGCATGTGTGGGCAGTGGCTTCCCGCTGCGCAAATATGCAAGCACTCGAGCGCACTACAGTAAACTCTGCCGTCTCTCGAATCTTGAACCCAGATTGCAGAATGCATAATGCAGATAAAAATGGAAGGGATTTTGCATAACAGTCTACGCCTCAGTCTCCTCTGCCCTGCTCGGCGGCCACATTAGCGTGGGTTGGTACACTGGTTGAGAGCCCAGGCAGATGACACTATAAGCCTGTCCCCCTGAATGCCAGCCTCTCCTGTGACAGTACGTACATTAACAAAAAAGGGCTTTTGAATGTGTGACAAAGGTCTTTATGAATTTAAATTGTGTGCGTTTTTTCTCGGCGGTGGGAATCGGCACAGGACCTTAGTCACAGGTCATGTGGTTTAGGGTTACTAAAAGCCTCTACCAATAGAGTTGTGTTGCGCGCTTTTTGCCCTTTTACAAAGCCCTTTCTGCAGCCGCAAGAGAAAGCGCTCACCCCCAGGTGGGGAGCGGAGACGGACGAGTCGAGTCCCTGGAGGCCGTAACCGGAGGCTTATCAGAGCCCGACGCTGTTCTGTAATACTCCTGTGAAAGGCCTTCTCCGCCGCCTCCCAATAGCCGCAGTTCTGGGCAGAAGGCTGTAATGGAGATCTCCATGGCCCCTCGGTAAGCAACCAAGGGCCGAAAGGGGGGTCTGTCTCGGGACGAGGCACAGCAGGGATGGAGGGAGGGAGAGATGACACTGCGGCGTAGGTGTGACAGAAGAGAGGAGAGGTCTAATGAGTCAGAGGGGAAAGGCTTGGGTTCTCCTCAGGGGTCTCCTGCCACGGAACGTCAGCTCATGGGGCACAGGTAGACACGCCCGGCATTCGAACGCCACCGCGTTTCTCATGGGCTCCCTAAGGAATGCTTGTGTCGTGGCTCAAAAGGACTGGATAAAGACCGGGAAGGTTTACACCAGTTCAATGACATTCAGATTAAAAACCGAGGCCTCTGCGATTCAGCCGGGATGAGTAACCTGAGATTTGCTGATATGACTAAGGCCAGGGTAAAGATAAATACAGCGCTGCTGTGGAACTGTGAGTCATGCTGATGGCGATGAGTTTCTCGCTGCTTCTTGGCTGCTATTCCGATTGTCCTAAAAGTTGTTTTGCCAGTACTTTTGCCAGCTGATATGGCCTGAGAGGCTTCCCAAATGAAGCTCAAGTGAAACTCGAAAGGGCTGCTGAAACTGCCTTGGGAGCACTAGTTAAGATGATTCACTGACGTAGTTATTACACAAAAGGCTGAATCTGGATATCACGATAATGAACATGCACATCATGGGCATTAAAATCAAAATTATCTCAATAATTATTTATTATTTTAACTTTTAAAGTGCAGGGTAAGGGCAACGCAGTGGCGAAGTAGGTAGTGCTGACTCCTCAGAGCAAGAAGGTCAGTGGTTCGAGCCTCGGCTAGGTCAGTTGGCGTTTCTGTGTGAAGTTTGCATGTTCTCCCTGCGTTCGC